TACCCATAGCAGTAAACTGACTTCCACTTTCATCCAAGTACTCCACTGACATGAGCTAATACAGGTACAAAGGCAAATTATTGCATTAAAATTTTATTAGGCACTTGCACATTCTCTTTTTTTTCAAAAAACTAAATAGTCAATGTATACTCCATTCCTTGAAGAGGTTATGCCCAGCTGGCAGACAGGAAAATTAAGCACAAGTGAAGCTAAAAATAGTAACAAACCCATTCCTCCAGCCAGCCAGAGCAGAGAGCTCCACAGGGCAATGAGGACCTCAGCACTGCTGCTCAGCTGCTCCAGGGCAAAACCAGGAGCATCCCCGCCCCTTCCACCTCTGGGGCCCAGCTGTGGACTCCTGCTCCTTCCCTTGTGCTGATCTGCTGCTCCTTGGACCTGTCACTGTGTCGGTTCCATTTACTAGCCCAGCATTGCACCAGCCTAACAAAATGAATGGCTTGTTGCCAGGTTGTCAGGTTGAACTGCTGAAGCAATGCATCCTCAAGTGCCAAAACCAGCAGAACGGGCAGGTGTGGGGGTGGAGAGGCATCAAGCCTTCTGGCCAAATGCAACACTGGTGAAGGAAAAGAGGGGAACTGGGACCACCCCTGCTGCTTTGCGGGCAATTAGGTCAGCTCAGCTGTACCACTGACCCATAGCCCTAGAGTCCTCCCCAAGTAACTGCACCCCTACAGTCGCTTTGGAAGGATGCCTGTCCCTCTCCTGACTTAGACAAGCTTTAGACCAGCATTTGAGATGAACAGTTGCGGTCGACCTTTATTCTGCTTTAATCCCAAATAACTGAAGGTTGGCCACTTCTTGACTATGGCACCTGTACCACTGCATGCCGGCACCACAGCAGTGAAATCCCCTGGCTCCACAGATAGGATACTTGTGACAATGCAGGGGAAGGGTGTGATCTGGAGCAGTGAGGACTTTGCACAGGCACTATGCAGGGTTTACGATGGCTCATCAACACCCAAAGCACTCTACAGGCACAGCTGGCATTTCTGTCTGGGTGGAGGGAGGAGGTTGCTGTTGATTCCTCCTGACCCTAAAAAGCATGCTTTTACTAGCATCTCCAGGTGCCAGCTGCCATGACATCTGTTTTCTCCTCACTATAACATTAGGATTAATCACCCTCCAACTTGCCTATATTGAAACTTTATCTTCCAACACTACTTACTATAATTCCAAGTGTTTGAGATTTTTCTCTTCAAAACAAAGTTCATATTTCCTCATTTGGAATAACTGAAAAAAAAAATGAACCTGTGATTTAGGTCTTCTTCTAGATAATGAAGACTTTAAACCAAATAGGATCCACGACAGTTCCCTTCATCCTAACACTGTAAAGTATCCCCAGTTTGACACACAGCCATGTCATTATCCTTTGTTTACTCCTTCATCCAACCTCAGTCACGCAGAAGAAGCCTTCTTGTCCAGGTCAATTAAGTTTTCAATTAATGTTTTTGAACCAGGCTGCTGTACTGTCCATATTTCAAGCTGTGATGACTGCATATAAATGCAGAGCATAACTGACTCAGCAACCAAAACTCGCTTCAGTTTAAATTATCCTAACAGCCATGGTGATCTTAATTCTTGGCAGGGGGTTAGTTCTAGGGCTGTTAAGATTTCATGAGGAAAAAAATTTCTAATCAGACTAAAAATCATGAATTTTAAAAAATTGCTTTCTATTCTCCTACACTGGAAGTCAATTATGTAAATCAGAAGTTATCGGCTCTTCCACAAGTACACAATCATAATTGGAAAGTACAGTTACAGTTACATTTGCAACATTCATCTTTAAGACTCATTTTACATAAAAACCACAAAGTGACAATGACCAGGGTTTTGATATGCTGCTCATCCCACTTATGTTGCTTTCCACGACTGGGAAGAGCACTGGAGTATACTTTCGCATTTCTTGGTCACCTGGCAGCTCTGATTCCCTGTGGTGCTTGTTACAGTCCCATGACTACAACTGTATTTAGGAAACAAAGGTTTTCAGCCTGGTGGTCTGCGGCCCAGGCTTTGGGAATGCGTGCAAGTGACTCGGAGAAGTATATTCCTTTGGGTTGTATAATTGCCTGCCTGGGGGGGACTGAAGGGGAGGGCACTCTGCCAAAGGATTTTTGGGGTTCACAAATTTGGGTGTTGAAAACTAACAAACCACAGCAGAAATGGCTGATCAAACAAATCAGTGAATTATCTGCTCTCTTTAGAGATAAATCTCAATGTAAAATGCTGTGACTGGCCAATAAGTGATGAAAGAAGACTGAGGGGAGATGTGCGAGGGTGACACGCCCTGAAGCTCAAGGAATAATTCTGGACAGCTGCTGCAAACAGAGCTGACTTAATCTTAATACAAATGGGACCCGAGGGTGGCCTTTATTTTAGAAGAACAGCTATATCAGTTGAGTGGATCAACTGACTAAACCATAGTTGAGTGGATCAAATTTTTCTCCCCAAGTTCGTTAAGAGTGAGACGTCTCCCAGACCAGCATGGGGAAGGGGGTATATAAATGGCTCAGTGCAGCACAGAGCATAAAAACTGAACGACTAACAAAACACATAAGCAAATTGGAAGAGAGCAATGGGCTCCAGCTGGTTTTAACACAGGTTATCCTTCCCGGTGGCTGTTATCGCCCGGTGTCATGATGGTGAACATATTACAGAGATCAGCAACAAGGATCACACTGATGGTGTGATTGAACTGCTATTGCCATTGCTGTATTTCCTGACTGCTAAGTGCAAGTTACATTGGTATTATGATTTCAGTATATTTTATGTCACTGTACTAAATCAAAAATCCCATGTAATGTTAAATATCTTCAAATAAGTACATTTGATATTAAACATTATACCCTCCATGTGTGGCACACGTAAAAGAGCCCACTCAGAAAGTACTGGACTCTGACAAGTGCTCATATTATTCATTAGTTTGTCCATCTGACAACAGAAAGGGGTTACTGCTTACACTTTGGCATAACCCATTTTAGATATCTATAGATGTAAACATCACTCTGCTTAAGCTCACTCCCACAGCACAGAATCCCTCAGATTCTTTCATTTCACCTCTTCTGTTTCTTACATTCATGCTGCAAAACACACATCTATTTAAAAGTAACACTATCACAAAGGTTGCTGGCATTCTTAGGTTGACAAATTGTCCACTTCCCATTAACAAGCAGATATGTAGAACTGAAAACGTTCCAGTGGTGTTCTCTGCTTCCTTGGCACAGACAGCAACATGAATATTTTGTAGGCCATTTAGTCTATGCATTAAGCAATCATTTCAAAGTATTATATGGGTTTAAACAAACAGCTGTACGTTTGGAAAGTGATGTGCTGTGTATAAGTAAGGTTGAAAGGGGAAGAAGGAGGAAGGAATTTCTAAATAACCAAATCATAGGGATGCTAAACTTACATAGAGAGGCTGTGTTAACAGAATGTGCTGGGGAAATTCACTGGGAAGCAAACGAAAAAGCACATATTACAAGAACAATAACCAACTTCTGAAAGGGCAAAATATGCTCTATTTTGTTGTGCCTAAGATGAATATATGGTTAGCAGATGAAGCGTTCATGTATGTTATGCATACATGCACACACACATATGCTAAATTTAACTGAAAATACAAGGTACACCAAATCACACTAAAAATGGGAGCATTTACTTAAAAGTTTCTCCAACACTATCAGTCCATATCACTGCCCTGAAACCCATTCTAAAACGGGTTCTTGAAGTTAAGAAAAATATGCATTTCACACAGAGGCCTTGGCCTTGATAGTTCTCTTGTTTCTGCTGCCCAGGCTACATCAGAGGGCATGGGGAAAGGGAAAGCTGTACTCCAAGACAGGAAGCCTCTCTGTCAGGCAGAGCAATTGCAGAGCATCCACCCCAGCCCAGGTTCCTGGGGCAGCGTAAGGTGCTCAAGCTTGACAGTCTCCCCCAGGAATCCTGGTCTGGGTTGTTTCCCACCCTTGTGCTGAAGTCTTAAAACAACCTTGGTTTAAAACAACCACCTCTTTGGCCTGACGAGTTACTACTGAAATAACCTGAACAAGATTACAAGATGAGTTTAGTAGCTCAGCTACAAGTTTTCAGAGCTGTTTGTCAAACACCTTGCTTCATATTTAGGTACCTTAGCCCTCCTGTCTTCGCTCTCCAAAACTCCATCACTTACTGATATATATGTTTTTAAAAAGAAACAGAGAAAGCTCTGCTAGAAATGACTTAAACCAAGCAATTAAAATTAAAAACCTGAAATAAATGCATTTACACTACAGCAATAAATCTTGTTTAAGCTTAATTTTACTCAAATAGCAGCTATAGCCAATTATAGCAAATACATTTAAATAGCAGTCCTGCCACAGTTAAAAAAAACTCCATCAGAACACATGTATTTTACTTTTGGCTCTCTTTGAAGAAGTTTGAGACAACTCATCCCAACTTTCACATGAGATTGTACCAACCTGCAGAGAAAAACAGGTTTCAGAAGTTCATCCCACAAAGTGCACAGAAATTTTAAATCGCTTTTTAAATTAAGACTACTCTTTCAACAGCTTAATTGCAACCCTTGCTACTTTGCTCCAAAAAAGAGTCCGCTTGAAAATATCCATCCTTTTTGGATTGCTTATTTCAGTGACAGCAGGCAGGCTGATTCCAGCAAGTGTGGCAGCTCAGCTCTGAAGTTCCCATATGCAATTAAATCCAAAGTTAAAAGCAGCTCACAAAATCATGTAGCACAATATTTTGCATATTTGGAATGTGGTATGACCATGAAGCTCAGAGCAGTGGGAAGGCCACTTGGTATACGAGACTCCTGGAAGTCCCACACCTAGGGTAAGGAAACACAGGCTCCTGCAGACTCGCAACAAAAGCAGCATCTTCCTCTCATTTTGTGTGGGCAGCCCTAACTAATCTTGCATACCACTAATTTGCAACGTTTAACAGATAGGTGCTTGACCTACTCCCTTTCAAGGAAAGCAATCACCTACCAGTCTATTTTGTTTTTCATGGCAGTTTTTTCAGACTCTGTACAAGGCCCTTGAACACACAGATTACATCAAGAGATTCATGAACGACACCTGAAAAAGAGCAAGTCTTAAAAAAGCAAGCCATGAGGCTTCCCAGTGGTACACTGGCATCTTTACTGTTACTGGATTTTAAAAATATTTTTAATAGGATCCATAAAAGCAAAAAGGCTAAAAAGTTATTGCTGAATGATGAAGGAAGCCTATTAAGATGGTAGTAGGTATGCTTCTTGGTCTGGGATTCTTAAGAAGCAGGTACTCACAGACTCTATTTAGGCAAAGGAGCTCCAAACTACGAGAAAGAAAAATAGTGCAACAATAGAAGGTGAAAATACAATGAAGACAGAGAAGCATCTAGCTTCCACATGAGTTAAATTAAAGCCTATGAATAAATTTATTATAACAATTTGTTAGCTTGCAGAGGATCTATACAATGCTATGTGTTCACTGGGACTTTCACCTTCTTTTAGATAACAAAAGATGAGTGAATGTATCCTTGTGGAGGGAAACACCTTTGAGCCAAGTCGGGGTGGGGGGACCAAGAAATGGAGTTTAACATCATGGGCAGAGACAGCTAACACAGCTGGGAACCTGCCTGGTTACCTGCCATGTCTGTCAGCTTGGGCAGGATGGGATGGGATGACATAGGAAGAAGTGGACATTCTTCATCCACTGCAACAAGGAAATGAGAACAAGGAGAGATGCTTATGGTAAAGTCACAGGTCTGCAGATGCTAACCCTCCATCTTGCTGGAGTATTAAAAAAAAAAAATAAGAGTTTTTCTCCCTGAAGACTGGACTGTCCTTCCTTTATACGTCCTTATCATATTCCAGTAATTCCCATCAGCTCTAGACTGACTGTTGCAATTTTCTCTTACTTGGGACTTGCCTTAAAATGGATCCAAAACTATTAAGAGAAGAAAGATGCAGAGAAAATTTTTGCTTGGTGCAGTAGTGAGAGAATAACATCTACACCATGCCATAGGTCCTGCTTGCTGACACACCTATCAATATGCTTTCCTCACCTGCCAAGTTCCTCAGGATTGAGGTGTAAGGCAGCAGAGGCAGCACACAGCTATGCTCCCCACAGACAACAAAGAGCAGCTGGGCTTCCTTAGTATTCTGCTGGGGGGGAGGTGCTCCATCCCCCATAGCTGGACCTCCACACTTCATTGACATCATCCAAGATTCACTCCTAGCACGTCCACCCCAGATACAGCCAACATCTGCCTTGGGCCAGAACACCTTGGCCTTTTGACTCCCATTTCCCCTTTCTCTTTGGGATAATTTGCTATGTTTTATTTATTACAGCAGCTGGCTATTCAAGTTTAAGATCTTCCTACGCATGTAGGGTTTGCGTATCATCTCCCCCTGGATGTCGGAGTGTTGGGACCAAAAAAAAAAAAACAAACCACCAACCAAAAAAAAAAAACCTACAACATTGAGTATTTCAGGCCGCTCCCTTTGATTTGCACAGGACTACATTACTGCTGTGTCCCAAGATGCTTCAGCCCAAGGGCTGTAGGCAGCCGTGCTGTTGCAGAGCCAGGTCACCGAACTGGGCAGCCCTGTTCAGCAGCTGGCATACTCTCCTGCAAGCCCACCAGGTCATTTTGGCCTCTTACCTCCCACAGATGCCACCCTCACCCTGCCATCTCAGGGCTGTCAGCTAGCTGGTAAGGAAGTGAGGTGGAGAGGGGAGAAAAAATAATCCAAGGCTCTGCCTCCTCCCTTCACAGCAGGCAAGACAGGCTCTAAGAGATACAGACACTTCTCTACCCATACACTGTGCTCTGATGCTGCTCAGACTGCAGGAATATCACACCCCTCTCCCCATCTCTCCCTCCTTCCTTCCCCCCAGAGACACAGGGTGACTCATACAAGTACTGACTTCACATCACGCAACCATCAAACCCAGCAGTCGGGTATCGGGGATGGGGGAAGGTATTTCAAACAGCGTGCCCTGAGAACACCCGAGTTGTGCAGAAACACTAACTCCAGCCTTCTGCTATGGGACCCAGGGAAATTTTTTGGCTTGTGGGTCTGCATGCACTACTTCAGCTGATCCCAGTCCTGTGCTGGGAGGCGACCTAGGAGTATGCCATCCGCTCGGACTCCTTCAATTTGCTTTCCACAAGATGACATTTTGGAATAGCTACAAACCATCTGGGTTCCACCCTGGTCAGAACGTCAAGGCACATGACGGACCCCTCTCCCCCCGCCTCCCAAAACTTTGGCATAGCTTGTGGGACAGCACTCAGCATCTGGGGCACTCGTAGCAGTTTGCAAGATAAAACCGGAGCAAGTTGCAATGAGAAAGGCATCTAACATGGCTCTTGCAAACACTTAAGTAAACCACACATTAAGAAGCTAAGTAAGTGCTAGACGATGATCTGCACATTGCTTTATGAAAAAAAAAAAAAAGTAAAAAGGAACAGATTTGTCATTTGCAGTGATGAATGGTGGTGGAGGACATCTATACATCTTTGAAACACATCAGCAACCAGATATGAAGCAATACCTAAAGTGAAAACTAGTAAAAGTAGTATGTTCAAATGCAAAATGTGTCATAGCTGCTTTTTTTATCCCACCTTAATTCCAAAAATCTTTGTGTTTTTTTTGAATGTTAAATGACTACAGATTATGATTTAAAAAAAAAAAATTAGTCTAATCATGTTTCTCATGGCCAGTAAAATTTTCCACTATAGTTTTATTTGAAATGCTCACTGGTGCTGCAGAGGACAACCGCAGGGCTCTCTCACTTCCAGGTAAAGCTACTTCAGAAACTGCAAACTTTAGCAAGATGGAAAATGAAGTCTGTATACATCTCCATGATTCCAGAGGCTGTAAGGATTCACGCTCCTATGTCACCAGCATACTTCTCAGAAACAGTCAGGCAACCCCTGTAGTGAAAGGTTAGGCTCCTATTTTTGAAAGCTCTGGCCTGCATACGTCTAACAAACTAGTTCTGAACTGTTCAAACGTTTGGTACAGGAAGAAAATAATTAGTTCTTAACACTAATCCAATTTTACTTTGAAGTGCCAGACACCCCAGAGAATATAAAAAATGTTTATCAGGGAGTTGTTTGGTTCTACACCCTACTCACATCCAGCTGCCAGAGTGTTGTAAATGAGCACCCAGGAAAGCAAGCTTTTAAGGTGCAAGCAACATGGACAACACCACCAAGGTCAACAGCATTAGAGCAATGAGTAGCATTGCCTGTCATACGTACATTCTACAGACTCACAGGCTTAACGTAGTATTTTGGCTTTTGCTATACTAGGATTTTCAAGAGATTCAAAAGCACCATTAGTGAACAGCTTAACAAAACAGATGTAATTCAAGCCTTATACACTCCAATCTGAAGATTTAATTAACCTGTGTTTTTAAATAGAACACACAATAAATCCATAGCTTACCAAAGAGCTTCAAAAAAAAACCCACACAGAATAAGATATTTAAAATTATTTTATCTTATATTTGGTCTGAAAAATCCTATACTCACATTCACAATTTACATCTAGTAAAAAAAAAAAAAAAAAAAAAAAAAAAGAGTCCTTTCTTCATATAATTTGATTTTTAAAAATAATAAAAACCCTAAATTATCTGATGTGCATGAAGCTTAATGCCAAGAATACCACTTTAATAGCAGTTTGAATGTAGGAAAACCAGCTGTGAAATTCACCAAGTGACCAGACCCCTCCAGTTCTGCCCAGGCTTGGAGACAGAGTCAGGTAGGAAGGTAACGGTGAAGTTTTGTAAGGAAGAAAGGATGACAAGCACTCCTGGGGTCTGAGGGAATAGATTATGGGCAGACATAGGAGTAGTTTCTCAGTTCTAGATACTCCTCATGCCAAGGAACCTGGCTGTATTGCATGTCTAGCCAACATGCTCTTTCCCAAATTGCTCCTCCACGGAATTGTGACAGGTGCTACGGTACGACCCACAGGACCAACAGAGAACCAACCGGGTGACTGGAGGGGATTGCATGTTTCTATTAACTACTTTTTTTTTTTTTTTCCAGCTTTCAATAAAAGAGATTGATAAGGGCTTGACATTTTGCGAACTGCATGGCAATCACATGGAAGTATTTCACCACTGTGCTGAGGGAGAGACTGCCTCCCTAGCAAGTATGTTCACAATGTCTCTTTTATGCAAAGCTAGCTCAAGAGGGCTTGCAATGGGGTGAGTGGGCTGAGGATGTCAACCTCTTTGCGAGAACTAGCAGGGATCTGGTGACACACTAATCACTGCCTTGATTTTTCACTGCAAAACCCCTCATGTGCCTTGTTTTGGAAGCCAGCTCTCACCCTGCTTTGCTGCCACAGCAACACAGGAACCGTCATGTAGGAGTGCTCAAAATTGATTTCCTTGCATTACTGAAACCAAGAGACCCAGCAGCAGATGGCAGATCAAGAACCACTCTTCTACCACTTTGAGGGTTCACCACACTCAAGTCCTAAAGACACAGTTTGAGGCTCTTCTCCTTAGCCTTAAAACAAATACACACACACAGCCCTGCCCACCCCACCCCCCCATGTGAAAAATCTAAGTTGATTTCTACAAGGTAATGTTTTAGACTGGGTACATTTTGATCAGTGGCTATTGTCTGATTTATGGGCAAGGATCAGTTACTGACTATCTCTTTTTAATTTAATTGGGCAAAGACATCAAGAGAGTAATAAAGGAGTTACTCTGGGTTTATCATAAACAGAAACAATCATTTACGTACACAATCTCAATGAATCAGCCTCAGTAGCACATGGAGCCCAAGTTACACTGCAGAACCAGGCAAAATGAAACAGCCATCCCAAAGCCAAGGCCATATTAGGCAAGAAAAATACTCTTGACTTTCTAATCCTTTGAGGAACTCACTGCTTTCTCAGAAGGGCATTAGACTGACTAGAAGACCTACAAACTTACACAGACCATCAATGGAAAACAAAAGTTGCTGTCGGGGTTTGAGCTAGCTTTGTACAGAGATGCTACTGCCTCTATTCATTTCAGAAAAAAAAAAATGGTGGAGGACAAAGAAAGGCCATGCACAACACTGAGACATCGAATTATGCTCTGCTTTTTTTTTTTTTACTTGCAATAGACTTGCAGCTTTTGACAAGTCTACAAGCATACAGAGTTTTTAATTTTGCATTATAAACTTTCACAGTCAATACCTTGACAGCTAGTGAAACAGATAATAGGTTGCTGAGATCTTGCAATGTAGAAAATTCAATCTGTGGGTGGTGTTTTAAAAGTAGCAGTTTCCCTTCCCAGAAGGTTACTATGGCATCTGTGGTTATAGGGAAGAGAAGGCAACAGCTCACCACAGCAGGACATGCAGTAACAGCCCACTGCTGCACACCAAGTGCTTTTGTCATGCTCTGTGCCAGAGGAAGAGTAACACTTGGCCACCACAGGAATACAGTTTACAGCTATTAGTGATACTAGCACATTGCCTGTCTTAAAATTATATTTTTGCGCAGAAGGAAAGAATACTTAAGATTAGTCATTTAATGAAAAGGAAACAATTAAATAGGAAGTTTGTAATTTCTTTCAGCCTAGACAAGGTAGAATTGAAACATCTGAAAATTACAGTATCACTTAATTTCACTGCCTCAGTGTATTCTCTTAATTAGGAGATTATTTTCCTACAAAACTTTGTGGGTTTTATGTGTTACACTCCTTACGCATTACATTTTTCATAGAAGTATTGGCTCAGATGCATAAAGGAGAGGGAGGACTAACTCCCTTGCAGTTCAATCAAGAAACCACAGTTTCCACTTCATGTGGGCTTTGTTTCATGGCTAGAACACTTCATCATATGGTATTAATACAGCGCTAAGAAACCCAACCAGAAAGGCCTTAATCATACTACGATTTCAGACAAACTGTAGTTCAGCACTATTCAGCCTGGAGGTCATTTAATTGTAAGTGGCGAGCAAAAACTTATTATATCTGACATTCTGAGGACTGGAAGGTTCTCAGTAATGTAGCTCAAAACCAGGAATATTCATTCAGTACCATATGAACACAACATGCTTAAGAACTGAAATATGTCACATCTCAGGATGGATCCAGCAATGCGGTGTGGCTGCTTGATCACACCATCCACGCACAGCATGAACACTGATAAAAATTACCTGGATGCAAAATC